CGACCGTACCTTTACGGACGAAAATTTGTAATTTATACTGACCACCGACCCTTAGTTTGGCTTTATTCATTAAAGGAACCAAACAGTAAGCTTACCAGATGGCGATTACGACTACAGGAGTACGATTTTGAAATCATTTATAAAAATGGAAAACAAAATACAAATGCCGATGCCCTATCCAGAATTAAAGTTAATGCCTTAAATTCAGACGACGAAGGTCATTCGATGGACGTTAATTTCGACAGCAAAGAGTATAAACTTAGAGAGCATCTGAAAGACGTAGTTAAGGAAATTGAAAAACTAAACACTCAAAATAAAAGACATAATGACACAACGTCCATTGTGACAATATCAGACTCAAGTACTGTTTCCGCGAGTCCTATGTCTCTTTCCGACACAATATCAATTTGTAGTTCAGAAAAGGTTTCCGAATATCCAATTCGATCACCTTCAGAATCTAGTAAGTCCCAAACTGTGCATTCAGCCGTAGAATTAGAGTCAAATGGAATACCAATACTACACGAGACTATCGATACAAAGCCAAATCAAATATTAATATTTTCATGGTTCAAAAATGAATATCAGGTTAAAGATATTTCTAGGGAAAAACAAAAAGTTTTAGAAGTATTTTTACCATTAGATAATTCCGAATTAATTAAAGAATTTTTAAAGAAATATATTAGGCCTAAAATTAAATATTTTATATATTTCGAACGAAAAGAACATCGAAGACAATTTAGCAATATTATTATACACCTTTTCAAAAAGGACATGGTTCAATTTTATGAATGCACGGAACGAGTAATTTTTGTTGAAGACGAAAAAGAACAAAGGGCGATTGTAATTAAGTATCACGAAGGAAAGACATGTCACCGGGGTATTAAAGAGACGCTAGTTAGAATCCGCAGAAATTACTATTGGGATAATTTACAAGAAACTGTTTCGGCAATAATAAATAGTTGCACTGCATGTAAAAAAATGAAATATGACAGAAAGCCAATTAAACCTATTCTTCAATTAACCCAGACCCAAGATGCTCCGTTTCAAGAGATATTTATAGACCTGTTTAATATCGAAGGAAAACATTATCTGACTCTCATAGATGCGTTTAGCAAATTAGGCCAAGCGATAGAAATTGCAAATAGATCCACCCCCGAAGTAGTCCGAGCTTTAATGAAGTACTTTTCTTTTTACGGGATACCAAAAAAGATAAGTTCAGATCCGGGCTCTGAATTTAACAATGAATTAATTAAAGAATTCTTAAGCTTACATAAAATTGAGCAACACATTGGCACCCCAAATAGCCCAAGCTCGATGGGGCTTATAGAACGCTTCCACTCGACAATCATAGAAATTTACAGATTGGCAAAATACGAAAGAAAACCTACTGATGCGGCATCAGTTATGACGTATTCCGTACTAGCATATAATAATACTATTCATTCGGTAACAGAACTTACACCCTTCGAGGTAGTTTTCGGACATACCGACACGGGTAGCCCGTTTAATACAGAATTTGATAAGCAGTATTTACAACACTTAGTAAGAGACCATGCAAAGCGAACAAAATTCTTATACAAATATTTAGCAGAAAATATGGTAGAAATTAAAGAAAAGATTAGGAAAAAGAAAGGCGGTGAAGATGAGATGGTATTTCAGTGTGGTAAAACTATATTTGCTAAAGATACAAACAAAAGAAAGAGTAAGGACAAACCGCGCTATGTTAAGGCTAAGGTAGTAGGCAAGGTCGAAAGAAATATAGTGCCGATACAAATAGGTGAAAGGAAGACTAAAGCTCCAATTAAAAATATCAAACGCCCTCCACAGGTGGTGCATACTGATGATTGCGAAGCCGATCCTGGCCCATCATCTGCAGTCACTTGAGGAAAACCCAGGGATACTTCCGGTAAAACAAGGACAAGCATATGCCCAAACAGATCACTGGACTATAATAAAGATTTTAAATTTAGAGAATATTTATGACGACCTAAATGTAATTATTGCTCAATATCATAAGCTTAGTAGACTAATTGAAGTAACGGAACCATACCCTCGTGAATTTATCAGTGTTAAAACCCATGTAGAGTACATACGCGATATAACCGTTCAAAAATTCCAACAACTTATGCCGCGACGCTTTAAGAGAGGGATCTTAAATCCATTAGGTTCTGTTCTAAAAATTATTACGGGAAACCTCGATCATGAAGATGCTCTTAAATATGATAAACTTACTTCAGAATTAAGTCACAACCAAATTATCATTTCTAAGAAACTTACCTTGGTCTCCAAAATGTTAGACAGCTTTATTAATGCCACGGAAACCCTAAATAATAATTCCGTTATGCTGGATGCACGCTTGAAAAGTGTAGAGACAATGCTAAATCATTTAACGACTAGAGAAAATAACTGGGTTTTCTCTACGTATATTTTTGGATTATTTAATTTATTTATAAGTAATTTTCGAACTATATTTTATAAATTAAGTGAAATAGAGACTGCTCTAGCTTTTAGTAGAGTATCGATACTTCATCAATCTATAGTAAATTCTACAGAACTTTTAGATCATTTAAAACTAATATCGAATACCGAAAATTTAGTGTACCCACCAACAGAAACTAATTTGGTAAAACTAGAACAAACCATAAGTGTAAAATCTTATCTTAAGAAAAACCAGATAGCATTTATAATGGAGATTCCGTTAACTGATAATAATACTTACAATTATTTTAAGGTTTATTCCGTACCTATTTTCCGTGAATCTGTAAACGAAACGATTGCCATCTTCCCAAAATATCCTTACCTCCTGGTGAAAGGGATGAAATATTTACCAGTCACGAAACCGTGTCGTCCCCTTGCTGCTGGTAATGATTTCCTGTGTACCGAAGAAAATAGAGCTCTCTACCCTGGACTTACCTGCATAGAACAGCTAATGAAATTTGAGAATAATCTTACTTATTGCACGCAACATGCTATTACAATTGAAGACGTTAAGGTGCAGAGAATTAAAGCTGAAAATTGGATTGTTTTTACAAAGTTAAAAACGACGCTGACAAAGCACTGCGGTAACGAGATCACCAAACAACCAATTTTTGGAACCTATATACTAACCAGCGATGAGCCCTGTGACCTGGAGATACACGGTACTTATATTCATCACCACCGTGTTTACACGGAATACGAAGCGGCGCCACCAGTTTCAGTCATCAACTTACCTCATTTACGTGCAAATATTAATGTAACAAGTACACGCGTAATTAACATGAATGGTGTCAACTTGGATGAAGTGAAATATATGTCAAATGCTTTAAAACACAGTGAAATATATTACACAGATTTAAGTGCTCTCAACGGAGAAAAAGACTCTAACTTCAGTGTTCTAACATATGTAATTTTAAATTTCCTAGCTTTAAGTTTCTTATTGATCTTTATATACGTGTTAAGAAAAAAATGTATACCTTACATCCAAAATTATCGTAAAAGCATCAAAAATGATATTACCGATAATTTTGCTCTTAGGGAGGGAGGAGTTATGGATACACCCCGTCCCTCTGTTTTAGACTAAAATATTAAAATATATAATATTGTATTATTTAGACTAAGCAGTAAAACTAATGTATCAGCATTTGTATGTAAGTTCCTAGTACTTAGTTGATGAGTCGCATGTCTGCGCACAAACGGACTCTTTGAATATCGTTCATTATTAAAGCCACCTCCAAATCGGTCGGACATAGTAATCTAATTGTATTTTAGTTTTTAAAAACTCCTTTCGACGTTCCCGAAATTTGACTACATTGGTATTGTTGATCGAAGATTGAACTACATCATTGAGGTGTCATGACATGTAGCGCGGCTCAGACGCGTGATATACGCGGGTGAAACCGCGAGGCACAGCTAGTATATAATAAAAACGGGAGGCTAAAATTCATTTTTGTGGAGGCTATTTTAGCTTTTGAAGTAATTTTTGTTGTGATCAATATTTGGACGTACAGTTAAAACACTTTATCACATCATTTTGATAAATAAAGTGCTTAATTTACTTAAAACAAAATTTTTCTTTCTCTCTGCCGTAAAAATGGTAAATCAACCCTCACCGTAACATAATCCCTGACATGTTCTTTGTGCAACCTATCTATTGAACAGGTTTTATTCAACTCTCACATTTTCATAAACGATCTTATCATAGAGTGAGAAGTAACTTATAGAGGTGGAGAAAAGTTTTCTGTACAATGTATTTCTTCAACGCCGATTGTTGCATGAATTTTCAAATCAATTTAGAAGTGGTATAAGAATTATATCATTTTTATGCCAATACAAAAGTATTTAAGACACATAATAGGAAAAAAAATCTAATTAAATTATATATTATGAAATCACTGTCGTAATATCGTAAAATCGTAATACACACGATTCAGATCCGTGATCGTAAAAACTGAAATACCTAAGTAGTCGAGGTTATAACCTTGATGAAACAATTGAGTGATTCTATTTTCTTTTTATTAGAAGTGACCATTGAATATTTTGTTGTATATAATAAAATATAGGTATTATTTGTTTCATAAAAATTTGTAGCAATTTATAAAACAATACACGTAGCGATTTTTACACTTTTTTAATATGTATTTTATACAGGGGTAAAGATAGTATACTCGTAATATGAAAAAATAGCTTACATACATCACTTGGTTGAGGAATCGACATATCAGCTTATAAAATTGTGGGATGGTGTAGTTTAATTCCAGCCCATGTCATCATTTTAATATATATATCTAATTTTGCTGTTTGAACTATTGCACAACATTGACATACTTTGTTAGAACTTTTATAGAGAGAAGAGTATGAAAGAGAAATTTATTGCAAACTATGCAGTATAGTATGTTATTTTTAATTTTATTTTAAAAATAATGTATACAATTATCTGTACGAATATGATACCCGTATTTCCGTTACAAGTACATCAAAATGCTTAGCAGTCACTAATTTATAAATTTTCATTGTTTCAGTAATCACTGGGAGTACTGATGGCATCGGAAAAGAATACGCTAAAGAGGTATATCCAAATTTAAATAAAACTAGTTTTCTCGGATTTTATAGCGTATATTAACTTATTTTATATTCCCTACATATCGAGCACTTTACAGCACCCTTGGTCACTGAGATGTTCGATATAACAAAGTCATAGTTAACCACGGCTACCCCCAGAAATTAATAATTTTTAGTCCAAACAATGCAGTAGTAGAACTTATAGTATCTTGACGTCTTGCAGGTGTATGCTTGGGTTGGGATTTAATTTTATTAATTATTGGATCCCAAGCAGATGGTAGCTAGCAGATTCCTAGCAGAGGATTTCTGGGTCTGCAGTCTATGATCACGTACAGGATTGCGTCCGTCACTACATCAGATTTGATAGACCACAACTTCTCGTTCAAGAACACTGATTCCTTCCAAGTTTCATCACCGCATTTCACAACAAAATTCACAGGGCATCTTAATCGTAGTGATCATATACTCTTTGATGACATCTACACGATCTAGATGCTTGGCGGCCCACTCACCACTATGCGTTTTTCCTAGATCTTTTCTGTCATCATAAATAATTTGTAGAATCTTTTATTATCAGCGATTTTTGGGAACTGAATGACTTTAGAGCCTTTATGAAAGAGCTTAATATTTCATTAAAGTTCGACAACGCACCTGGGCTTCCTCAGCAGGCGTTCATGGGCGGCGGCAATTACTTACCATCAGGTGAGCGCTATGATCACTTGCCTCTTTAATTAACACCTACCATGGATTTTGAATTGCCTTTGCTACTGGCATGTTAGTGTCTGGCATATAATTTCTGACGGACGCCAGCCGCGCAACGAATTTTATTCGTTGTGTCTTTGATACACAGGGTATCCGAAGTTACGTTTATAAGTAGAGATGATATTTCAGCTATAATCATTTATTCGTGATTTTGTACGAGACAATAGACCATAAAGCTTATTGAACTACTAAACTAACAATTAATTAATTAAAAGATAAAGCAGCAGAACGAACTCAGCGTTGTCTTAAATAAATAATTCCGGGCGCCTTAAATTGGTTTTTCAGAGTATTTATCTAGCTTGGCTACTTCAAAGACTTGTTCGTGTTACTTTTCCTAAAGATATATATAACAAATTTCACTGTTGATGTATTCTAAATACAATTTAAATAATAATATTTGACGAGGTATATTAACATTTTCTTAAACAATTAATACTCCCGATATCGGTGCAAGTTCACTACTAAGCTCTTATATATATATTTAGTTACGTTTAGTTGAGTTCTTATTTTTTTTAACCAAATTCAAGAAAAGAGCCTACTCCTTTTTAAAAGGCCGGCAACGCATCTGCAATTCCCCGGGTGTTGCAGTTGTTCATGGGCGGCGGTAGTCACTTTCCATCAGGTGAGCCGCATGCTCGTTTGTCCCCTCTCCTATAAAAAAAAAATTCACTTTTCTTGAAACTGTCTGAACCGATTTAATATTTTTTTAATAGGTTGTACTTCAGGGCCGTTCACATTTAAATAAATAAAAAATCTGTTCCTAATGGTAACAAAACTGAGGATGAAGATATTAACATGACTATTTAACCCTAGATGATGTTCTAGTTTTAAGGTTGAACTTGTGATATTCCTTTTAGTCTTATGGTGTAATAATTAGACTATTAACAAAAAGTAAAAATGACCTCCAAAACTAAAAATAATTCCTTTTCTGAATTCGAAGCTTTATTAATTCGATATACTATGTATGAAAATTATTTTCTTTTTTTTTTGTAGTATTTGAAGTTGGTTTTAGTTTTTGTTGAAAGTTATTTGCAACTGTCGTCATCCTTTCACACAACTAAAAAACTAACACTTTGATCAAGAAAGTTCTGGTGAAGTTAAAAGTTGATAAACGTGCCAAGGCAGGAATGTAACAATTTGTAAATAACCAATTAGAGTTTAACTAAAGCAAAGCTCTGAAGTAAGAAGGCGTTTGAGCTAACTTAATTAAATATCTTCTATATTTATCTTTTTAGTGTTCTAATTAAAAAGCCTCAAACTGAATGCAGGTTATGTAAAAAATGTGTGCTTTTATTTAAATATAGTAGTTTCGTCTACTATAATATACTTTGCTAAAATTATAGTATTTGGAATTGTAGCTATATTATTATGTAGCAGTATTTAACTTATACTGAACAATCCACCGAACGCTTAGGAAACACATCGCGTTATCGTTAAGGCCTATTAAAGTCTACTGCTGAACATACACCTCCCCCATAGATTTACCGAGGTAGGGGGGGGGGGGGGGGGGCATTTACCATAGTTGCTATGCTTGGCAAGGGTAGCCAACCGCAGTTTTTTATTTTTGGTCGTTATTAGGAAGACGCTGCTGCCTATCTTCTGATTTGTTTCCCTGTATCGTCTTTTACGAAGAAGAAAACACATAGTTTAAATATAATAAAATAATAAGTTTAGTTATGAAAACCCTCTTTGGAGCGCATAGTATTTCATTATCGTCAAAAATCTCTTTTTCAGTTTCTGTCACCTCTTACGGTACCCACGGTGGTGGGTTCTCTTATGATGCCGGCATACAACTGAAAGAGGAGATAGCCAGCAGCATTTTTCTGACATTATCGGAAAAAAAATGTGGTTGCCAATCTAAGTGGTGGCAAATATAGCAAAATCCCTCATATGAAGCAATCTTTGAGGAATGCCTATGTTCAACGATGGATTTTTGATAGCTGTTAATGATGATGATGGAAAATCTGTTAAAACAATTCTTCTGTGTATTAATTATTTTATTACAATTTGTATAGGAAAATATATACAGGAAAACGCCGCGTAGCATAATGAAATTAATGTTATTTTGTCTCCAACGTTATAATATATTATATTATGTTTTAACAAAGGTTGTTAAAGCGACCCGGTAAATAAGAACGTAATTCTGCTTACCCGGCGAATTTGAATACAATCCAAATTAAAAATACATATTGATTTAATTGAACATTCGCCGGGTCCGTGATTTGGCCTTTTTAAATACCTATCTCCATTTTGTCGTATTTGCTATTTGACATTTCATTTAAAATAAAAGAGTAACGCTTCAATATCCTCTTCTTCACCATCATTCTACAAAAGTCCACTACTGGATATAGGCCACTCACCTTATCTGGTAATTTCATTCCGCCATTTATCGAAAGCCATGAGATATTTCTAATATTTCCTATTGTCCCTTCTTACGACACCCACAGGACGAAATGTTGTGATGGGTTCTCTTAAGCAGTCAGCACACGGCTCTTATAAATTAAAAGTGATAAGTTTTATTTTTGAGATAATTTCGACGGCTCAGTAGTGCAGCCGCGGGTCCGAATCGAACACAGAACAATTATTTTTTTATCGTCTACAATAATTGATTAGGGGCTGGATGTCAGTCTACATCGCACATCAATTTATGTAAATAAAACGTCTTCACGACGTAAGGGATAATTTTGCTGTTACACAACCTTTAAAACGATAGAAATATATATAGTATATATATATATATATATATATATATATATATATATATATATATATATATATATATATATATATATATATATATATATACTAGACTCCAATATAAATTATGAGTGGTCTTCCTACGCGTATCTTTTTCTCCTACTTTTTTACTAGTTCAAGTAGGCCTGTTTCGTGACTAACAATAGATAAATTAGGGGTCATGAAACAATATACGCTACTGACAGGTAGAAATAACGATTTATTTGTTACAGCTGGCCGCCCGTGGCTGTGATATTATTCTAGTCAGTCGATCGATGGACAAACTGAAGACAACAGCAGAAGAAATAGGTATGTATGTGGAATGTACATAGTATTTTTATGTTGTTTAAACTGAGAAGATGCGGCAAAGGGTTTCTTTTTAGCGGTAAATGCGAGAACTTGTGTTTTCTGGATATTGAACCTGGACTATATTTAGTCGCCGCCAATCCGAGAATTTGTTCAAAATATTCTCGAATTTAGACACAAATTTGTTCCGACACTCGGCGACGCTTTTTCAAGAAAGTATTGCACGACCGGTGTATACCTATAACATTACCATAAAGTAAAGTAAAGTTGCAGCCTATTTACGTCCCACTGCTGGGCACAGGCCTCCTCTCATATCTGAGAGGGTTTTAGGGTAAGGAATTGTCCGCCGCGCTGCCCAATGCGTGTTGGCGAACATCACATGTCTTCGAAATATATTATTTTTCTTATTTCTCAGACATGCAGGTTTCTTCACGATGTTTTCCTTCACCGCCGAGTACGTGGTAAATTAGCACTTAAAATTGAAATTAACAATTTCATTGGTGCCGGCGGGGATCGAACCCGGGTTGCTCGAGTACTGTGAAGCTTACAGCGAGCGCTAACCATCAGAGCTACCACGGCACGGCATTACCATGCTGGATGTTAAAATACCATTGATATGCAGAAGAAACAGCGTTTGTGATAGCCGGCAGTCTTGTAGAACACCAGCATTAATAGGCTTGTAATCAAGCATTTACCGTTTACAATGACCTTGTTGCTCCGATCAGCCAGAAAACTGGTGATCCAATTGCACGATTTCTCGCGAAGCCCATCAGAAGGAAGCTTCGAAAGAAGCGCGTTGTGCCAAACCCAAACGAGGGCATTCGCTGTGTCCAAACTAACCGCCAAAGCCTCCCTCTTGCACTCGACCGCCTGCGCCCATATATGTGTTAGGTAAACAATAAGATCACCAGCTGAGTGACCTCGACGGAAACCCTACTGGCGGTCACTAATCAGCTGTTGCTCCTCAAGGTATCGTATGAACTGGCAGTTAATAAGGGACTCCATTATTTTTGAGAACAAGGCGGAGGTTAACTTTTTTAGGGATCAGGTGCTTTAAAGTAACTATCTTCCATTAATTCGGGACAACGGCTGGGGAGTAGGAATACCGGAAAAGACGCGCTAGAACCGGTGCCTACTCTGGAGCATATGTCCTCAGCACAATTTGCGAGATTCCGTCAGTCCTATTAGACCTGTGGATGTCTAGGGAGGAGTGTGCATTGCGTATTCAGCACTGTGTCAATCGCACATCAGGCATAGAACACTCACGCTGCGGGATGGTTGGCGGTGTGTTCCCCCCGTTATCGAGAGTCAAGTTGGACGCAAAAAGGGATCCTAAAAGGTAGGCTTTCTCTTTTGCGGCATGGACCAGTTAGTTGTCCTCCCTGTGCAGAGGTGGTAATGATGACTTACAGAAATTCCCTTGCACAGTCTTGGTGAGAGACCAGAATGCAGGAGTTCCCGAAGGTAGGCGAACTAATTTCTCGCCAATTCTGCCAATGTGCTCTTATTTTGCTTTAGAAATAACTCTTTTGAAGGACCTGGAGGCGAAGATTTACTTCTGTTTAAGCATGCTGGTGTTTATATCCCAAGACGCTGAAGCGTCAGCCCAGGCCTGATAACACTCCTGCTTACTGCGTAATGCAGTCTTACATGTGCGATCGAACCAAGGCTGAGATCTGCCTTCGATGGGTACCACAGGTGATGAAATAAATAGGTCCATTCCCTGTAGCACTACATCAGTGACAGAGTCAGCAACAGCGCTGGGATCATCCAACGAGAAGCAAGCTACCCCCATGGGTAGGATGCAAAGAAACACTGCATGATCTGTAATGCCAAAGTAACTAGTTGTGTCAGATCATATTCAAATGCAAAATCAGAGAAACAGATCTGTTAAACGTGATCGGTTAAACGTGAACCAAACCATTCGGCGTGAAGGGCGTTAAAGTCGCCAAATATCACGATCTCTATGGATGGGATATGTTGTAGCAAGAAATCTGGAAGTCCACGGATAGCGTGGCAGGGGTCGCTATCGTTTTATCGCTCTGTTTGCCCCATGCAGTGTTAGAAGTTAGCGGGATTTCACCCCCCCCCCCATATGCGGGGCAGCCTAAACACCCACGCTCAGGAAGAAGAGGGTAGCATGATCGTGTATACTCAGTGTTAACAGGGGTCATTTCAAATTGAGAGGATGGGGGGCATCGGCCACCTGCACGAACCAAGCGAAACGCAGAAGCTAAGATTCTACTTTATGCTGTTATTCTGTAAGTTCGTGGTATTTCCCCGATTCGAGCCGCCCCATCCGTGCTTCAGCAAAAGCTGCTACCAGTGTTGTCTTGAAGAAACAATGACATTGCAATTTAATCCAAAGCCGCTAGGTGGCATTTTGTAGCACCAGCTCATATATCACGGCAATATATTGATGGTTTTTATATTATATTGATGACTCGCTTATACATAGATTGACATATTTTTGAGGAATGTCCAAGCTCATGTTATACCAAAGTACTGTGTAGGGAGGCCTACACAAGGACAAACAGCCAAGGAGAGATCTCTTTTCATGCAAATAACTGTTTTATTTGCGTTCATTGCAAGTAACAGGTGAAGCGGACTGAAGCGGACTTCGCTTGCTATTTGCATTTTATATGAATACTAGCTAACGACGACCATTTACTTTCCTAAAAAAAAGTCCTGAGATTAGCAAAAAAAAAATTGAGGGTCGCTTATCGGGATAAAAACTATCCTATCTCTCAAGTTGGACCAAACTGCACACATTGTGCAAAATTTCATTGAAACCAGTTCAGTAGTTTAGAAGTTCATCGCGGACAAACAACGTGACACGTAATTTTTATATATAAAGATTTATACGGATACTGAACTGAAGGTCTAGTAATTGACAACGAGGCATGATCCAAATGGACACGCGCATTGCCTTTTAGCATCTGATCTGACTTACTGGAAAGCTTTGTTGTCGGTACCCACGAGTTAAGCATGCTTAGTGTGGATACGGTACAATTTCTTCACTCATGTGGTAACACAGGTAATCAAATAAGCAATAGTTAAATCTGAAAATGACTAATTAAGACCACTACTAAAATTGTGTGATTACTCTGCGTTTGAAAACAAATAAATTTTGTGTTTTGTATTTTGTATTTTATATCGTGGATTTTACGTGCTAATTTTTTTTTCGGATACTCATTAATCTATATAACGAGAGCTGCTTATTATCAAGTGAATGTCTTCGTTCATAAAATAATGCGAAAAATGCATATAAAGTTATTTCGTCCTCATAAGCTGAAACTAATATAAAATTCAATTTGTTTTTATGTACATTTTTTTGTTTTTGTTTTAGAAAAGGACTTCAAAGTGAGCACGAAGATAATTCAGGCGAACTTCAGCGACGGCGAAGATATCTATGACAAAATAGGAAGAGAAATTGCGGACCTCGAGATTGGCACTCTGGTTAACAATGTAGGCGTGTCGTACATTTACCCGGAGTATTTTCTCGATATCCCTGATTGGTGAGTGCCTTTGGTTTGATTTTTACGGCCGCAATAAAACACCAACTGTCTCATTTTGTTTATTAAGGAAGGATATCTTGCAGAGCTTGCTTGCTTAGTACTTAATATAAAGATAAAGCTGGTATTCTGTGAGAGCGTGGAGTTCATGTCATATCTTTCGTAATCGTATTGTTCATAATATAATTATAGCACCTCTCTACCACGTACATCTTACCACATATCTTTTGTATGTATAGTATGCGATATCTTAGCAAATTTTCAACAAATTTTATTGATTATTTTTTTAACAAATATGCTATAATTCAATGGCGGTTTAAGTATATTTAGGATGTATACAAGTCAAATGGCAGTCAATTAATATGTTGTACCTATGTTGAAACCAAATTCAGACAATCTGATAATGGCATAATAAATTCCATAAATATGGAAAATGCCGGAAAGATCTTATGGTTTTCAACGGATGACGGTATAATTATCCGGTTAACGCCAGCCGTAAAATACCTGTACCGATGACGGCTAGCAGCGAACGTTACGTCAAAGAAGCGTAACGTCTGCTATCGTCAAAGCGCCTGCCAAGAATGGCAGTTACAGCAAATACGCCTTGAAATAGAAGAAGTTCATTTTTTAATTGACATAATCGCTGCTTGACACGATTTGGCGACCACAGTGCTCTCTTAACCATTGCTGGTCTCGATATGTTAGGTATGGTGTAATCGAGCTGGGTTACCTAACGAAAGTCGCATCTTGATGGCATTGTCCATAACGCCACCACCACACATTAAGGTTTATCCCAAAAGTATATACATATGTGCATATCACCACAAAAATAAATCAAGCGGCAGGTTTATTACGTCTAAAAGAATACCTTATCGTAACATGAAAGAAAGTAGAAAGATATTGCAGTGTTCTGTTTCTACTGTATTCTGTTGTATTCTGGTATTCACTTTATAAATTTTGTTCAGACATAATTTTTCAGTATAAAAGTTAGTATTTGTCTGTATGCCGGAAACGATAAGTATCTAAGAAATATAACCATCCAATGCCAGTGAGTCCGTTAGTTAGCGCTCGACACGAGAATCTCTTGCAATTGAAAGCAACACAAACGTGAAATTTTTCTAAAAGTATTTTCAAAGGTGTTCTGCCGGAATAGTATTTCCACCTATAAGTGTTGCTGAATTGAAATATTATTCGCGCTATCGTCGCCTTATCGAGCAAGTGTTATTTGTGGAGCTTCATTTTCGACATAACTACAATATGTTACGAGGTTGGTTTCACCTGCTGGATTTTAAATTTATAGCTGTTTAATTTTTTACCATTTCAACGAGAATCGAAGAACGATATTCGTTATATTTCTCAGCGGTGACAACGCATTTTGATTCCTAGAGAAACAGACCATGAGGTTGACTGTGTGCTCGCATGTCGCAGTAACTTCTCTAAAAAAATAAAAATGAAATAAAAAATAAGCTTATTTATTTTATTATTAAGGGTGTGGCTAGGCTTTCGGCTTGAAACGTGATAATTAACGAAAACGATTTTATAAGATTCCGCTACATGCGAAGAACTCACATGTTTTCATTCTGTCTATATTTTGTAGAATTACTTAACTTTCGTAATGGAGTAACGGATTGGTTCTTATGTGTGACTTTGGTCGCTAATTAAAATAAACTTTGTTGCTTAAAGGGAAATATTAGGTTGGTGAAAAGTTTCTTCGTATTTTATATACAATTCAAGACTTATTTTTAAAAATTCAATTATATTTAATTATAACATATATGTGCCATTTTGTTTGATAACTTGTTGCCTGCCATCTTGCAGATTTTTTTATAGGATAAGGGTGACAAAAGAGCACACAGTCCACCTGATGGTAAGTGGTTGCTGCGTCTCATAGACATCTACATATATCCTCTATTACGAATCAAAATGCAGATGCGTTGTCACCCGAGAGGACTATGTTGGAATGCCTCATTTCCAGTACAAAGGGTCTCCGGTTCTCTACACTTACCATACGAAACACAGCAGCGTTAAGCTGCTATTTTACGCTGGTATTCTGTGAGAGCGTGGTCCTTCCCCGGTCGAGCCGACCCATTCGTGCCACAACTATACCACTAATATAGCTGCAGCATGGCTCTACCACGTAAATATATGTGTATAACGGACACGGAAACTTTGCAGAAGAACTTGGACATTTTTAATCGCTAATATTGATTACCGTTATCGCTACTGCGGATCAAGTCACTGCTGAACATAGATAATCCAATAGACAGCTTATTTGCCATAGTTGCCACGCCTATCAAGGTATCAAGCGGGTTGGCAATCGCATCGCATGTTTAATTTTTAGTTGTTATGAAGACGCTACTGCCTATTTCCTGGTTTGTTTCCCTCTGTCGCCTCTTACGACACTCACGGGACGATATGAAGTAGTAGATACATATTCTTACACGGCCAATCTTTTTATCTTTTTTATCTTTTTTTAGGGTTCCGTACCTCAAAAGGAAAAAACGGAACCCTTCGTTGTCCGTCTGTCTGTTTGTCTGTCAAGACCCTTTTTCTCAGGAACGCGTGGAGGTATCAAGCTGAAATTCATAACAAATACTCAAGTCTACTGTCCCTTAGACCTGTGAAAAAATTAAACTTTTAAGCCAACGCAATCAAAATATACAGCCGTTTATGCCGAAAATTTTCGACATTCGCAAGGGAATCAAAACCTATAGGGTACTTCCCGTGAACTCAGGACCTTGAAATTTGGTACGAAGCAACCTTTTATAGCACAGATAAAGGAAAAATTGCGAAAAACATAAATTTTTAGTGACATTATATAACAAAAATATTTTTAATAATTTTAAACTTATATACCAACAGATTTGTTCGGAACCCTCGGTGTGCGAGTCCGACTCGCACTTTGCCGGTTTTTTTTTTAAAAACGTTACCCCCACACTAGGATTTTCTCCTGTATCGTGGAGGCAGTTTACAAACACAAATTGCACAAGGACAAACATCCAACAGCCAATGCGTATGTACCGTACCGTACATGTTGAACGTAAATTTCTGTTACTCGTAAACTTAAATATATCTCCATATATAAAAATCAATTACTGGACCGATTTTGATGAAATTTTTTGTGGGTGTTTGAGTTTGTCCCTGGATGATCTAAGCGATTCACTATTGGACACGGTAGGTGGCGCTGTTATCGAGATCCAGAAATCAACCGTGCGAAGCCGGGGCGGGTCGCTAGTTGTATATAAATTTTAACAAAATATTAACATAACATAGAACAATAAAAGCATGCGGCTACCACAGTAATTCCTAAATTTGTTTTACTATTACGGTCAAAATTAATCATATCTTCATTAGGCTGTTTACCGTCTCAGAGGGAGTTACATAATGCTATGATGATGATCCCTTAAATTAATTTAATTATTATTCTCAACCTTTGTAATGATACCCGCCTAATGATCTCATCCAATTGCCTACCCTAACTTCCATGTAATTTATTTGCTGGATAGTTGGGGCGATGTTAGTGTATTTGTACTCATTTTAATATAACATATTTGTATTGTTTCGAAAATTCATTGAAATTTCATTCAAATAAGGGTGAAGTATCAGCTTCAATATATTTTATGATTTCTCAACTACAACGCGGGTTGTAAATCGGCACTTGAAATTGCAATTAACAATTTCAGTGGTGCCATGATGGGAAAACCAGACGATGTGCTGTTATATTAATTGGTCGTTGAGTTTTCTCGAGTTCTATGAAATTTAAGAAAAAATCAAGGCATGCGCTCCCGCTGTTTCTGCCCACTTAGTTATGAAGGCTCATTCCACTTATTCATGAAATAATGTTTTAGTTTAGCAAACTTGAAAAATGATTACTTTCAGATAGGCTTATCTAGGGAACTATAACAACTGGTTATAGATTGAGCCTCTAGCCAATATTTCACACCAGGCTCGATACTGTGCTTGATAAGGAACTTTTATGACCGGGGTTTACAAACTAGACTTGCTGGTATAAAGTTAAAACGCTAAAGAAACTACGTACCTCATTCATTTACGAAATAATAATTATTTTATACTGCGAAGAAAGATATTATACACTTATTTACATAACAATTTTTTTTTTCTAATTAAAACAAATAAATCATATCATCCATGAATTATATAAGTTGTATTAAAATGTAAAATAAGTGATAAAAGAAATGTTCAATACAGATACAAAATGAAAATGCAAAAATAACGCTACGGGTTAATTGAAAAATGTGTCACCCAGAATACCTGCACACTGTCACAGAATAACAGCGTAAAATAGCAGCTTAACACTGACGTGTTTCGAATGGTGAGTGTAGAGAACCGGAGACCCTTTTTACTGGAAAAGAGGCATTCCATCTCAGTCCTCTCAGCTGACAACGCATCTGCATTTTGATTTGCAAACGAGGATAGATGTAGATGTCTATGGGCCACAGCAACCACTTACTGGACTGTGTGCTTGTTTGTCACCCTATACTATAAAAAAAAAAAACATAAAAACATATTATGAATTTATATTCATTTAATCATAAATCAGTAATTGTCCTTTCAGTAACCAGTATATTAAATTAATGGAATATGATACACACATGTTTTATGACAATTTGCAATTCCACCGCACTTCTGCTCCACGCTTCCGGAGTAGTGCTACCATGGAGGACGGAATTCAAGAGCTTCTTAAGGACTTCAAGTACCGGTTTTCAAACTGCTTTCAAAAGCTCCGCTGTAATTCCATCCTCACCTGGGGCCCTGTCGTATTTAAGGTGTTGGAGGGCCATTCTAATCTCGCTCTGGGATATCTTCGGAATAGTATCGAATAAGACTCGCTCTTGGATCGTTACTCACACTTGCGTGTGGCTCCAATGATGACGTGTACAGCTGCTCATAGAACCTCTCAATCTCACTCAAAATCTCAGGTGTCCCGGAAACGATACTGCCACATTCGGTCTTCAGCTTTGACAGTTGACACTTTCTGGCAGACAGATCTCTGGCAAAGACTTTGGAGCCCTGGATTCCGCTCGATTGCTTCTTCAATACGAGCAGTATTAAGGAGATCTGTCTGTTCAGTTGCCTGTATGCTGTCAAATCTGTTAAAGACTGTAGATTCATCTCCCGTGTAACAGCCATGAGATTAAGAGAGTAATCGGAGAGTTTATTATTTCTTCTACGACGGGTCTTGCAGAACTTAGCTCCGACCGCATGGGCAGTTTCCACGAGCTTGTCATTCATATCATTCACTTCATTGCAGTCTTCTAGGCACTCAATACGGATTTGTAACTCGAGCTGAAAGGTTTCGGGACTTTATAATAGAGCACGAGGTGGACGGAGCGTTGACTTCATTAGACGAGACCTCTCCAACTTAACGTTTCGGTTCAGTGTGCCTCTAACCATTCGGTGATCGCTACCAGTTTTCACCCTCGCGATCACAGAGACATCATTGAACAGTTGTCGTCTGGTCGTCATAATGAAGTCAATCTCATTTTTTGTCGAACCGTCGGGGCTCGACCAGGTCCACTTCCTGTAGGGCCACTTCTGGAAGAAAGAGTTCATCATAAAGAGTCCCCCTTTCTCCATGAAGTCGGCCAGGTGCTGGCCCCTTGGGTTCCGTTGCCCTATTCCAAATTACAAATTTCGGCTCACCGTTCTCTCTTGTGCCTAGTTTTGCATTGAAGTCTCCCATTAACACCGTATACTCGTAGTGGGTTTTGGAGGAATGCATGGCTGTAGAGATATCCTTATACATTTCTTCCACCTCCTCATCGGTATGTGCCGACGTTGGACCTTCAGCGAATACCGTTTGGTGATTCTGAGTATAAGAAGACTGAGAGACACACTCCTAATCTTTACAACGTTGTTAACGAGAGACTTGTGGACGATAAATCCGACACCTCCTTGGGGCAGATGGTCGCCTTCCCGGTGATAGAGCAAGTTGCCGGATTCGAGGATTACCGTGTTCTACCCTCTCTTCGGATTTTGGATAATCCTATAATACTTGTCTATCTCTTCTTCCAGCTCCACGATCTTCTCGTCATTCTTCAGAGTACGTTCGTTGTATGTTGCCAGGTCGAGTCGTCTTAGGTGGCAACCGAATCTCCACCGGAAATTCTTAGCACCCCCCACCCCGCCATTACCATGGTTGCCACCGTAGCCAGGAATAGCGGGGCCGTCGGGGACTAGGAGCCGTCTCTTTATTGCTCTTTTTTATCGTTTTTTATTATGTTTGTTTTAATACGTGGTAGAGCCATGCTGCAGCTATATTTCTGGTATAGTTGTAACACGAATAGGTCGGCTCGACCGGGGTAGGACCACACTCTCACAGAATACCAGCGTAAAATAGCAGCTTATTGCTGCTGTGTTTCGTCTGGTGAATGTAGAGAACCGGAGACCCTTTTTACTGGAAACGAGGCATTCCATCTTAGTCCTCACGGCTGACAACGCATATCTGCATTTTGATTCGTCATCATTATCATCATTACAGCCTTTCATAAGTCCACTGCTGAACATAGGCCTCCCCCAAGGAATGCCACAAAGCACGGTCCTGAGCCACCTGCATCCGTCGACTTCTTGCATGTCTTACCAGGTCGTCCCTCCATCTCGTGGGGTTGATTCGTAATCGAGGATAAATGTAGATGTCTATGGGCCACAGCAACCACTTACCATCAGATAGACTGTGTGCTCGTTTTTCACCTTTATCCTATAAAAAAAACTGTCATCATGGGGGGGGGGGGGGTAATTTGCAATAGTTGCCACGCTTGGTGAGCGGGTTGGCAACCACAGTTTTTTTATTGTAATTTTGCTGTTATCAGGAAGATGCTGATGCACATCTCCTGCCTGTTTTCCACCGTCGCCTCTTACGACACCCACGGGAAGATATGGGGTAGTAGATATTCTTAACCGCCACTACACGGCTTATTATTGTAACCGTCTCTTATTTTCTGTGGTAAAATACTCAATGTAGTGGTGGTACCCAATCCGCATTTCTCATCACTAAGAAACAAATCTATGACGTGATGATGTCTCGTTACTATGGAGCCCTGGAGTTATACGTGTAATGATTATAAAGGAGAAGAAACAAGTAAATGGGTCGTTAACTTTGATTTACCAGGAAACAAACATTGGAGAACATGCTAAAAACCAACTGCGTTTCCGTGACACGCATGACCGGCTTGATCCTGCCTGGTATGCTCAAACGCGAAAAGGGAGTAATCATCAACGTGGGATCCGGTTCCTCGATGATACCTAGTCCGCTGTTAACCGTATATGCTGCCACGAAGGTAAATCAATAATATGTTTTTATAAACTATTTTAATATTGTTTCAGTGCTTTGAAGTTAAGGTATGTTGTTTTTTTTTCCTTCCATTGTCGAAAATAATATGAAAGTATGGTATCGTATCAAAATATTATTCATAAAGCTTTCTTTTACATCAAAACTTCCCTTATCAGTTGTGACATTTGAATAACAAGATTAGATGGAGTTCAATACATGCAAAAACATGAAACTAATCACAGTAGATTCATTGTGAAACAGTTAAATTAATACCTATAAAAATATACCTATTTTATTTTTTTATCCAAGACTTCATAAAACAACAAACTGACTAGATGTACATATATTGCCACAGTTGCCACTAGATGAAGTGGCGATTTGGTAAGAGATGAAGGAAGTCAATGGACACAGGTAGCTCAGGATCGTGCATACCTTGTGGAAGATGATAATGATTGTATATTATCAATCAAATTAAGGCTATATAGTTATTATATGACAAAGTTCAGAGGTAACATTTAGCGTTCCGTTCTTTTATCTAGATTTTATGGTGAGTTTGCTATTCTACTTGAATGTCGACCCTTAGTTAAATAATATCTGTGTAAATTTTGTCTTTACAGTAATATGCACAGGGATAGGTCTATGATATGGTATGATATTTTGTGATTTAAATATGAGTGTAATAGTTTATAATTTGTTTACAGGCTTACGTTGATAAGTTTACTGAGGGCATTGAAATGGAGTATAACAAAAAAGGCATAATAGTACAATGTGTTATGCCCGGCTTTGTTTGCTCCAACATGTCTGGTATACGCCGAAGCTCATTTTTTGCTCCTACCGCTAAAGCATTTGTGAAATCCGCTATTAGCTTAGTGGGAACGACGTCAAGAACTACTGGATATTTGCCACACGCATTGTTCTTGAACGCGATCAATACAATCCACGCACTTACTGGACGCTTCGGGGTCTGGCTTGTTACTCGTTCAATGGAAAACAGCCGCAGGAAGGCATTGAAGAAGTATAAAAAACAATAATTTTATACAACCACTTTATCATGACCGGAACCGTTCTGCTTACTTTCGTAATTAGTTAAACCTTGAAGAAATCCTTAAAAATTCTTATTTATTCTGAGCATAATCGTTTCCGCAGTCTGGTTCCGGTCATGTATTTTGAAATTCTTCGAATTTTTAATTAATATTATGCTCCAATTTTAAGTAACTTTTTAACGATTTTTTTGCATGTTTCTCTTTTAAATTAATGCTATAGATACGCATTACGATAGAAATGAAAATATAATTTACCTTTATTATTATGCGTCGTACTTCTTAACAATAGTTGATCTCGTCAGTAAAAGTGAAATTTTTATTTTTGCGAAATTGTAGAGCTTAAAGGATTTATGACTAAATAATTATAAATATGTTTCTTCTTCGCTTTGTATAAAATTCCTGCAAGTCTGTTGCATGCAAATTCTAGATCAATAACCAAAGACTTATTTGTAAAGTGAATATAAAAAAAATATATCTTTTGTCAATAACAAATATATTTTATATAATATTATTTCCTCATGTTGTAAAACTTACAGTTCTTCTTTTTTTCTTACAAAATTTTAATTATCTTAAGAGATAATTTTACTAATAAACACTGATATACTTTTAATATAGAACTTAATAACTTACACACATGGGTGAAATATATTATATACTATTTGTTACTATACAGGCTGCGGATGTAAATAATAAAATTCTTCCAATCTTTATTAATATTAAATAGTCACTTTATTAATAACTGACAAACACTGGAATTACTTTTATTTGCTTCACATACTAGTCGTTTGACTATTCATGAATGGTAATTAGTAATAATTACATTTTGAAATTTCAATGACATTACCGTTATCTATATAATTTTTGTTACCGATCAGTCTAGAATTTTCGATCGCGAATAACAAAAATATTAACCAAAGTAACTTAAGAATATTTTAGTATGTTTTAAAAATACGGGAACTTTTCTTCATTTACGTTTTCTTTTTTACTTAATTGATTTATTATCAAATATACGCAAATACTATATTCTATATGTATATAAAATTTTTGTTCATTATTGTTATATTTACTTATTTTACCATTTACGTGAAATATTTAATCATAAGCTGGCAGTACGTAAATAAAAATAAGCCTATGATTAATGATTACACCAGGCTACGAATAAAAAAATTATTTGTATTGTTTTGATATAAATTATTGCATGTTGGGCTGTCGTCGTCACCGTGTGACAGTGCCTGAATAAAATAAGAAAAAAAGAACTATGGAAATATCGGCTATTCATTTCCCGTATGTACCTGTAATAGAAAATATTACTTTTTAGTAAATAGATTTTGATAAATTTTCTACATATAACGGTAAGGTCAACACACAAAGCTAAGTATAAGTTATTAGCGTTATTAAATGTTTGTTTTTATCGAAGTATTTCGATAATTGCCATTTGTTCTGGTGTCAGTTTTTTGTTAATAGTACTCTATTGTAATTGAATGGGAATTGTAACTAATTAGCGGTCAAGTAATTAAATGGTTACCAAATTTACATTTAGTTTAATTCACCTTAATTATTGGAGGCTTGACTTTATAAATATAGTATAGCTTAAAAAAATATACCTCTTCACTTCCTAACCTATGTAATATAAATAACAGTACTACTGGTGGTTGGCTCAAAATTTAACTCAATCTACTACGCAATAGTGTTTTTTAGGGTTCCGCACCCAAAGGGTAACCAACCCTATTAATAAGCCTCCGCTGTCCGTCTGTCCGTCTGTCTGTTAACAGGCTGTATCTCATGATCCGCAATAGGTTGACAGTTGAAATTTTCAAAGAATGTGAATTTCAATATCCGCTATAACAACAAATAAAATAAAAATAAGTTAAAAATGATAGGGCTGACAATGAACTTCGGCTTTCTTTGTATGATGATGATTGCCTGTGTTAATGGGCTACAGGTGCTCACTTATCACCAGGCAAATAGACTACTAACTTAAGTCTCAACTTCATTGTCATGAAAATTTTAAAAATTTTACAGTCCACTAGGTAAAAGAATTCTGACAATTTTCGCCGTTTGCCCTCCACCCTTTCGAGACTAATGAGTTTTAATTTAGTAAAATTAAAACATTGTATTCATATTTAAGTGAGTATTACATCCTGCTAGTCTGTATTTAAATAGACTGGTGATGAATATTTCATTACTTTGATCTATTTCAAACGAACAAAGTTTAGTATTAATAAAAGTTTTTTTTTTATAGGAGAGGGGGCAAACGAGCATGCGGCTCACCTGATGGTGAGTGACTACCGCCGCCCATGAACAACTGTAACATCAGGGGAATCGCAGATGCGTTGCCGGCCTTTTAGAAAGGAGTAGGCTCTTATCTTGAAGAAAAGAGCCTACTCTTTTTACTTTTTACCATTCCGCCTCGAAAGCTCAGGTTTGATATCATTATTTTATCAAATAGAAAACCTTACTACCTAAAGATTTAAAGACTTTTTTGAAATGTGATATTATGCTGATTTGGTCTCGGCAAATAAATTCTACGTTAATTCTATTCATTCATTACATACTATTAAAAGTTCACTGCTATACTTAGGTTGCTCTATAGGATGCACTATAGGAATTTTACCATAGTTGCCAAGCCTGGCAGGTGGTTTGCAAAACCTCAGTTTTCGATTTTCCTTTGTCGCTCTTACGACAAGACGCCGCTACTACATACAATACGGGTTAATTTTGTATATATGTTTGAAATATATTATGAATACATGAACGAATTAATTATTTCGATGTGAATATAGGGGCGCTAATAAGAAAGAAAACAGAGGAGCTGTAATTATAGAGAAGAAAAAGGAGCCGAGGAAAAAGGAGCCCTTATTAAACCAATTTAAACTCGTCATCAATATCTAAGGTGTGATGTATGTAGACCATGTGGCCTTATGAGCATGATCACTAACCGAAGTTAACATAAGGGCAATAAGCAAAACTTATTGGATTATAAGCCCGGTTTTGATTTTATTATCCTTCTAATATTGTATCACTAGCCTACCTCAAATTTTATAGCCTTACGGCCGTCGAGTAACAATATTGCCGTTCACGGTCAAAGATACAGTCACTGACAAAGAGCAACCTGGGCTACCGACGTACCAGAGGGGATTGTCCATAGTGTTTTCCCAGATACCGAACTGTCTGTCATTTTTTACGGTGGGAAATCTGCGAACACAAAAACAATCGTCTGTCATTACGAAACTCATACAACAATTTAAACAATATACTAACAATTTCACACACACACATATGTTAGATACATTATAACACTATCACTCGGTGACAGTGACAACTCGGATAGAGACTCGGGTCAGTCGCTCGACCAATCCGCACATTGTATGAGGTTAAGCGGTTTGTGTTGGTAAACAAATCCGAAAGAACACGACCATGAAATCGGAACTTCATCACAAGATCCCACTTCTGATGTCGGAAATACAACAGGGAGATCCAACTTCTAATCTTAGATATACACCAGGAAATGTTAATCATTAAAAATAGTATGTGTGAGCGGATCATTGTCAGTACTAAGTCAGCGTAATGCACTTCAGAACCTACAGAGCAATTACAGTTTGATCACTCCGTAACACGTCCCCGCGACAATCACACACCAGTCTAACTTAAGGGACGTAAATGCATGGTAACGTCAAAGTATGAAAACTAACAGCAACACTACACATCTCTGTGTAACACTAATATTATGTATATTAAAAAGATAATTAAAAATCACTTCACTGTAGGCGACGTGCGCAAGAGAGTCTGTCTAAGTCATTGTACGTAGTAGTAGTGCTAATATAGTATCGTGTTTCAGTCCGTTGTGGTGGTTCTTGATGTTGCTGAGAGGCTTTTCTGTGTTACATTGAGATTTGTAGTGTTTATGTTAGCTTGCATACTTTGATGTTATATATTTATAACATCATTTTCATAAATTTAATTATAAATTTCATCATTATATAAACGTAACGCCTTGACAATAACAATTTGGCATTTTTGTAGTCGATTCAGCTGAGCAACTAAATTTAGTAAATTAGTTTTATTGTTCGCATAGTACCGCGTGGACTTACGCTTTGACAGAGGGGACCTCCTGTATAACTACTCCCCTCCGATCCATCGGTGGCCTCTGTTGCTCTATGGTCGCACAATACGGCTTTCCGAATTTAAAATAAATCTCAAATTTTTAGCAAATCGTAATAAAGCGTGTACCTATATTTCAGATAACGATAACGATAACATTTTATATTAATTAATAATGTGATGTTTTATTACCACGATTTTCTTAACTCACTTTTTTGTCTGTTCGATACGAATTTTGCAATTTATTTTAAACATAACTTCGTCTGTCTGTTTGTTTGTTTTTCCCATCGGTACAAATTTGGTAATCGATTTTAAATTAACTAGATAAGTAAGCGATTTGAACCTTTAAATATAGGCCAGGACTAGAAACGTTGTAAAAATGTTGAGGTGCTCCTTTCGGATCGAATAGGTAGTTTTTTTTTTACATAATATATTGCTTAATAGGGCAAAGGGTTTTGTAATATTTTCACTGTAAAATATAGAACTTTTATTGCTTAAATTTTGCCGCTGAATAGTATAGTTTTCTTGTATTTAGATCTAAACGCAGTAGGCACTAACAAATAACCCAAAAATATATTTTACAACAATATTTTCTTAAAATAATACTTATTAAAAACTTGCCAAATAATGACCACTTAGGTCATTATTGGAGGAAGTTAATAATTAAGAATTTTGCTTAGTATAAAGCTAATTATTATAAGTACTATCGCCAAATGTTCTTGTAGTAAAATTAAAACCTATAAATATGAATTGTTGGTGTCGGTCGCTAAGCAACAATAGGATGTGGTTCGTTAATCAGAGTTAGTAAATCCATCACACTACTACGTTCCTTGTTTCGTAATAGATGGCTATGTAATTCATCACTACGATGTGAGAAGTTCGTGTGA